TATAAAGAGAGGTTGGGAAGAGGAAGTGGATTTGACAGTGGAAGAGATGCATAGGAAGGGGAAATATCCTCTTTATGTGCGTCTGTAACTGCAATTGCGGATGTCTATGGGCTGCGGTCGCTTCGCCACTTTGGCGATTTCAGGTGGCCGCTTGCTCGTTTGCCACCTTATGTTACAAAAAAAAACATATATATAGGGACAAGGTGATGTGCGGAAAAGGCTAATTTATTAAGTTAATAAAATATTCAAATGAAGAACATGGCTCTTTCTCAAATATCTAGGGTAAGTATAAAATGTTGCATCTCTATGGTGACATTTTCGTTTTCATAATTAATTAAGACGTGGGAAGGAAGTCCCGAAAGTGTCCTCACGCGTTTAATAAAGCGAGCCGGTTAACTCGATATTAAAATACCGCGACACGGAATATCTGAACAAATGTATGTATGCAAATTAGACATTTAAAAAATAACGAATGCACTTACTCGAGACTATTTCATAAAAAAACTTCTTAAATTTCACAACCTTATAAATATTTATTTTTTCAAATAGTATGCAAAACACCGTAATTATAGGGCAAGTTAAGAAATGGGTTACCCTATTTGCATATCTCTTATTCTTCAATCGAAATGACATAAGTACACACGAAACAGAGAAGGAATTTTAAACTTTAGACCTATACACATTGAGTGTATTTTTGGATATATTATTTCTTATGCGGTTTGTAAAGAAATGGAATTGTTTAAATTTGCAAATTTCACACCTTGACAAGGGGTAACAACAGGTTTTTAAAGACGATTGCTTGAAAAATAATGAGTAGTCGAAGTTTGACGCGCTTTTTTGTACGACTTACGATAATTTCGTTCAATTTATGCACGTTGCAAGTTAGACAATTAGTGGGCAGATGTCTATTTGAAATTTATTTAGCCTCCGGCTCCGCGCTGTGGGAATTAGGGTTGCGAGTATCGATATAATTTTATATGAAACAGTTAATTTTATAATGAAATGGGTCGAGTGTAATCTATTAGATAAATGTGCACGATATCCCTATCGTACGTATTTATGTTTTTTTGATGATTATTGTTTATTTATAGCTCAATTGGATTAAAGTTCAAGATTAATATTACGATATTTTAAGATAGGAATCGTTGTTTGTATACATTTAAAATATATTTTTCAAGTATCTAGTAGTAATAAACTTGATGATAAAACTACAGACAGATCCATCTATCTTTGCATTTTCTTCAAGTTCTAATTTAGTTTGAAAGTAAAACATGATGCAATCGTTCTTTAACTGAAAAAAAAAGAATAAATATAAATAATCTCCCATGGATAATAAAACCGAAAAAAAGTAGGCCTACTCTTTACAAATGATACTATTCAAAAAAATAATTTATACCTTTTGTCAAAATAAGAAATAATATAGAATTAGCAAATTATAAAAAATGCCCTAACGCTTTTGACTCCAAGGTCAAAATGCAAAATAACTGTATTCAAATCGAAAAACAACAAAGTTTTGAATCGTAGTAAAAGATAACAAAAAATGTTGCGAAAAAACTCCAACCAGCTGCGTTCCAATTTTGAAAAAATACGATTAATGACGAAGTATTATTCATAGCCGGTTTTCGAACGAAAAAAATGCAGTAATGACATGCATGTCCTACTTTCGGAACGCAGTTGAGACAAAAAAAAACACTGTCTATGAATCCCATCCTTTTTTTGGTAATTTGAATTCCGAAAAGGGTAACCATCAATTGACGTATGGTTTTTCATCTCAAATATTAATAATCGTAATTAAATATTTATTTACTAACGTTAACTTATAAAACATACAAATAAAAACACATATTTTAGATTATGAACTTCAATAAATTGAATAATTTAAGTGTGCTAGTATACATACTAGTAATTTTGTAAATAAAATTCAAAACAAGATCAATTTAACGAAAGTAAAATTTTTTACATGTATTCCTTTTTCATGTATACCACCTAACCTCAATAACTCCATTTCTCTCAAAGATATGGTCACCCTATTATACTACCTCTCTCAGGGGTATCAGTTACGAGAGTGGCGTATTCATTTAAATCACAACACAGTTATTGTCCTGCTGCTTTGAATGGCGATAGATAAAGACGTGTTTAAGAACACTACCACTTAGTATGCACTTTTATATCAAGTTTCAACATGCTAATGATATTAAAACTCTCTTTCTTCCTATCTTTTATCTGCATTTCAAAGTAATTAGCATCAAATTCCCCGTAAACCAGAATATGTTTATTGTCTCTCTGTCATTATCTCTATGGCATTTTAATCTATGATCACTATCTACTCTATGACCAGTTGACATTTATGAATTTACTCTTATATCCTTAACACGATACTTTGAAAAAGCAGTTTTTAAAAAATATAAACTTGCCTATTGCATTTTAGCAGGTCTTCTATAAGTCAAATTTAGCTAAAACATAGTTTTAAGCTTTCAAACATTAAATGTAATTTAAAATATAAAATGTACGGTAAAATAGAGAATACCGAGGCCAATAAATATTTAATACAAATTGTCGTTTCGCATGCGAAGGTAATGGCGATCGTATCTATGCTTACTTTAATATTTTAGTTTACTTAACTTTATTAATTGGCTGGCTAGTACTGTTTATTGCTGCGACTTTACTCGTGACCTCCTTTCATTTATTCCTGCTAAAGATAACGTAGTGACGAGATAGTGTGGCTTCATGTGACTGTTTTGTCAAAGTTATTTGCTGACTAAATGCATCGCCACTTTATCCTCACTTAATTTAAACAAAAGTAAGTTGCCTATGTGGCCTTTGATGCTCTACATCTGTGCTAAATTTCTTGGAGATCAATTTAGACGTTTAAATACCTTCAAACATCCATCCAAATTTACACATTCGTATTAATATCATATTGAAATATAGAAGTATTTTAAGTTCTATAAACAACGTCTACGCTATAAACAAAGCCTACGTTCAGCAGTGGACGACCTATGGCTGACAATGATGAAACAAAGTAATCTATATAATTATAGTTGTATAACTTGTAATTCATTAACAAATAATAGTTTAATAATCGGATTGGCATCATCAAAGATGATATCGTTTGAGAAATAGACACTTAGTAACTGCCGTATACGATTTTGAGAAACATTAGTTAGTCATGTTAATAAACTCAATTTTTATCGATTTCTCAATAATTCGCTGGCTAAGAGGCTGTCTATAATGTTTGTTATATTCAACTTAGTTTTTTTTTTATGTAACTAGAGCATATATTCTTTCTTTAACATATGATGTTGGCAAGTGTCATAACATTTCAAACATAAAAGTTAATTTATACTTAAACTTTATGTAACTGTTTCCATACGTAAAACTAGTCACTAACAACTAAAGGCAACGAGTTGTAAAAAAATAACAACTTTCAAAAGCGTTAGAGCTGGCGTACACTTTTGACTAAACTATCGCACAATAATTGTAAGATTGTCGATTGTTTCGCAGCTAATTCAACTGTTTATTTCCACAACAAAAATTAAGTAGTGTGTGCCATATGAGCTCTTAAAAATCAAAGCGAGATTAAACAGTTGTGCGATAGTTTAGTTTCAGGTGTGCGCACACTTTTACAACCGCAGTTATTTTCTACGGTAACCCTTCAAGCGACGAACGGCCGCCATTTGCATAATTTTTTTTCTTAATGCGAAACAATAACACTTTTTTCTTCTTCCGTTTTGTTTAAGCGCCTCTTGTGATTTTGTGCCAGTACAGAATGCCCGCAATGCGTTCAAATGTTAATAGGTTTTTTAGTTAAATTGTGACTCTTTTGTAATAAACCATGCTTTATTACATTGCGGATTATTTTTATTAGGAGCAAATTATTTCCTGTTTCAATTTTAAAAACCAAAAAAAATACGTTTAAAAATATTTGTAATAAGTATGAGAGTCCAAAGAGATTCCATAATAGTTACTGTTTAAATTCTATATGTATACAAAGACACTTCTTCTTTTAGATAAGTTTTTTAAATTAAAAAGATAAAAAAAAACAACGAACTAAATTATTAAATTGTCGAATTGCTATAGCGACAAACTTTTCAGTAACATCAATATGGTTTTGTATTGAAAAAGTCCTTAAACTTTTACCACTTTGTTCTACTTCGAGTTTTACAAACTTCTTTCTAGACTAAAACAACTTACCGAGGAAGCGGAGTAAAGTTTTGAATACGAAAACTTGTAGAGCGCCCTTTATTAACCAGCCGAATATTTATAAGACGATCTCCGCAATTTGTCCCGGCCGAATGTAATACGCACAAAAACCGGAATTCATTAAAACCGGGAAGATGTAAATAAAAAAAGGATAATAGTTCCCTGACAGAAACGAGGTGACTCGCGGCCGCATTTAGTGGAGGCTTGTGATTTGTGCGAGACGTGTTTTTAGTGTTCTAAATTCAAAATGTATTGTTTTTAAATATGAAACAGTAACAGCCAGTTTGAAAATGAAACTCTTTGGAGTTAATCTCTATAATTGGAACAACGTAATTACTTTTTTCTTTTTTTATATAACTGTATCTAAGTGTTTTGTCTTTAGATGATATAATTATTTTCTAACTAAATTACAATCTTATCTTGCTAATGTATAAATGGGAAAGTTTAGATGGATGGTTGTTTGTTAGAGTTTGTAGCCTAAACTGCTGAACGGATCTCGATAAAATTTGGCATAAACGTGTACCATGGGCTGAAAGAACACCCTCCATTAGCTACTTACTTTTGTTTTTTTTTCTATTTCACGCGGACGAGGTCGCGGGCTAAAGCTAGGCCATAAATATTTTAACCGTTGGCTGTTAGTTTAAATCTTAATTAAAAGTTATTTATTTAAATAAAACGGAAAGGAACTTCAGGTGGCCAGTGTTTAAAACTCATACGTCGAGTAGTCATTTAAAAAAGTTCGTAATTAAAAGTTTCACATCGCCGTTGGCAAGCGATCCGGTCAACGTTTTCTTGCTTATATTTTTTTTAATATTTTTAATTTTTAAATGAAAAGCAGCTTTCGCTTGAGGACATGGAATGGCACGAAAATATTTGTATCAAAATGATAATGTCGGTTTCCACTGATTGAAATATTCACATTCTCATATCTCTTTTTTTATTCGATGAACTGATTTTTTATACATTTTGATAATGGCCACCAAGGATAAGTAACACGCCTTTAGCGTTTTGGACTAAGCAAAGTTCCTACTCGTTCCTCTAATAAGGAAGCATGTCAAGAATGAAGTTTGAGGTGTCAGTTATGTATATAAACAGAGTTAGGGCGCGCGCACACCTTTGACTAAACTATCGCACAACTGTTTAGTCGCACACTACTCGATTTTTAGTTGTGCAACTAAACAGTTGAATTGGCTGCGAAACAATCGACAATCGCACAACAGCTTAGTCAAAGGTGTGCGATCGCTGTTATTTTCGATTTATTTATAACTAACTATATTTCCACGACTCCGTCCGCGTGGAGCTAAAAAATACAAAAGTAAACAGTCTATGTGTCTTTCCAAACTATCCTCTACATCTATGCCAAATTTCATCGAGATCCGTTAAGCCGTTTAGGCTATAAAATCTAACAAACACCCATACATCTTAACTTTCGCATTTATAATATTAGTCAGATTAGTAAGAAGCATGATAGCCGGTTTCCCAGCTACATTTAACAATTCGTTAGTGCTTTTGATTCAATAACTTCATAAATTTGTTTTCCACTTCCGTATTCTTTAAATTTTCATTACATTTTATAACCTAAAACCAAGTTTGTTCGGTATTTATGGTAGAGAATGCTTGCGAAGAACGCGTTGTATCAAAGAGGCCATATCAAAGCACACGACGTGCATACACCCGCATATAAAATTGAAGGCATTTTTAGTAAACACCGAGAGGGTGAGGGCTCGGAGGGTCACAGTAATGGCTGCCGAATGTCGCTGGAATCCATTTTGTCCCTCCCCCGAAGCCGCGGTAAGGCGAGTTAGCGTGTATGACGCAAGAAGTGTTTGACTGCCATTTTGTTTTTTTTTTTTAGTGTAATTTGTATTTTGCAGATCATTTTTGGTAGGAGACAAGTATGTTTAACTTGTGAGATATATTGTTTGTGTCATATTTAGTAATACCGAGCTAATTTAATTATTTTTCATATTTTAAATTTGCTTTATTCTTTATTATCACTTAATTAAAACATTTTTAACGGTTTTCAGAAAAAATTGCCAATTTTATATAGGCATATTCATTTTCAACTTATATTTACTTTTGTATATAATGCCAAAATCCCATCAAATGTCATACTAATATTTGAAATGGGAATATTTGAAGGGATAGTTTGATAGATGTTTTTTTATTACATATCTCCTAAAGATCTCTCATAGTTAAAACAAAGGCTACTTAGGTTTTTTGTCGGCGCGGATGAATCCTCGGGCGACAACTAGTGTAATAAATGCCGCATCTATTGGTTACTAGCTTAGTGGTAAATAAGTATGCCACGTCCGAAATGCCCCGCGGACACCACAAATTATTTTAACTTGCGTCACGTCAACGACCTTCGAAACGTTATTTTGTACGTTTACCGATATTTGGAAACATTTTGGGAAAATTGTGACAATTATTTTTTTATGTTAGGATTTATGTCTTACGTCTTAGGTAAAATGTAATGTGTGTGTTTTTAATTACTACAGTTTACATTAATATGACACTAGCATACACTAGTATACACACACAAAGCAATGATACAAAATTAATAAATTTTTTTATAATATAAGGTGGCAAACGAGCAAACGGCCACCTGAATCCACCAAAATGGACAGCGACTGCTACCCATAAACATCCGCAATTGCAGATGCGTTGCCTACCCTTAATTGACGGAGGAGGAGACGCACATGAAGAGGACATTTTCCCTTTCTATGCGTCTCGTCCACCGTCAAATCCACTTTTCCTTCCCATCCTTTACTCTTAAGAAAGGGGTGGAAAGG